AATGCGGGGAGACCACATCTGGCTGGGGCGGGTGCCACCACCTCCCCCTTCTGGCCACCAGCCTCCCACGTGTGCTCCTTCTGCCGAGATGGTGCCGAGGCCCCAGATCTCAGCTGCAATGTCCTTTTGTGGAGTCATTTCCTCTCCCTGCAGTCATTGTCCTGATGTCCCTGCCTCCCTTCCCTGGCCCAGGAGGGCTGTGGGAAGTGGAAGAGGGAAGGCTTCTCCTTCTCACTGTTTCCTGCCCTGGCCTGGCCTCTCCTGGGAGAGGCTCTGGAGCTGAGTGGATGGAGCTGGAGCTGGGGCTGTGCTGGCAACTCGGCTCCCAGGAGCCCCCTGGATGAGACAGACGGTGCAGACTAAGGATGCTCCAGGGGAAAGGGGCTCTGGCTGGTGGGGAAGGGTGGCTTGGGAGAGGTGAGCAGGGGGCTGGGATGTGAGTGCAGCTTGGATTCATTCATTCATTCAAGAAATCCATTCGATAAACAGCTGACTGCTTACCAAGTGCTGAGCAGGTTTTAGTGCAGGGAATGCAGCAATGAGTGTAGGAATGGTAATTATAACCAGTTCTCTGGACTGGTGGAAGTGCTGGACCCTAGCTTTAGACCTGGCTCCTCTGCACCTCTTTTCCTGCCTAGACCAGGGATATGGCCCCTCGTTTCCTCTCTGCCCATGACCCTGGCAGTAGTGGAGTTGGTGGTGGAGGGGGCCACCCACTGGAATCCATTGCTGTCCCTGGTGTCATGGGGCTGGCTCTTTTGGGCAAGTGCTGTGTGCCATGGGATACTACGGCCAAGCCTCCTGGGAAGAGGAGGTCCTGGGGCCGGCTGCCTCAGCCCATGGAGCAAGGAGGAAAAACAATTGAAGTGGATGCTGAGGCTTGGGGAAGAAATTACATTTGATTGTTAGTTCTTTTTTTATTTTTATTTGTTTTTTGGCAGCTGCCCAGTACAGGGATTGAACCCTGGACCTTGGTGTTATCTAACACCCATCTCTAGCAAACTGAGCTAAGCGGCCAGCCAAAGAGATGATGTTTGAGGCAAGCCTGGGAGAATGGATAGGATTCCAGGAGGCTGAGGAGGAGGGAAGAAAGAGCAAGTTACCTAACTTCTTTTTTTTTTTTTTTCCTTTTTGTCTTTTTTCGTGACCAGTAACGGGATTGCAACCCTCGGTGTTGCGCCTGCACCGCGCTCAACCAGTGAGCGGACCGGTCTCTATATGGGATCCGAACCCTCGGCGGGAGCGCCGCCGCACTCCCAAGCGCTGCACTCTACCGAGTGCGCCACCGGGCCGGCCCAACAAGTTACCTAACTTCTGAGCCTCTGTTTCCTCATCTGTAAATGGAGACAATCCTTAGGGGAGGGCCAGGTGATATTTTATATATGTATGTATGTATGCATGCCTAAATTGGCGAATACCACTGAGAAGATCATTAGTAAATGTACCTTCTCTCATCCAACACTTGAAGAGAGAAGAATTTGGAAGTTTCATGAACTATTGGGTAAGGGTACACAGGGGCAGCTCTAAGTGGTTTAGATCTTTATTTTTCTACCTGTAAAATGGGGACAGGGTTTCTCTGTACCTTGACATCCCACGATGGGGCAGACCTATTTAAAGGCCCCGGCTGCCTCGTAGAGAGTTGGGATGTGTATGTCATCCCAGTTTTCTCCAGTGACAGGCCCTTCAATAACCTGGGATCCTCTGACCAGAAAGGTGCGACCCCCTCTTGGTGGCAAATGGCTGCTGGCCTGTGCCTTCCTGCTGTTCTGTGTTTATGCTCGTCCGTCTGCCTGAAACACCTCCCTGCTGAAACCTTACTCCTGTGGGCAGCCCAGGTTAGGGGAAGGGACTATGTCTGAGAAACAGGTGTTGGCATCTCAGAGCCAACAACCCTGGGCTGACCAGTTTTGGTTTAAGCTGCGTGCTCCCTCGCTCTGGGCTGAATTGCAGTGAATGTGGGGTGTTTAGGGCACCTTAAGAAACGCCCCAGTCAGCCAGAGCAGCTAAAGGGCAGAACTTTTCTGCACTGTCAACACTGGAGCCGGCTGAGCCAGGCTTTCCCGCCGCCACTGGGAGGGACGTCAGTGTGGGCTGCGGGCTCGTCTGTCAAGCCAGCTGCTGTACATAGGCGAGGTCTGTCCTCAGTCTCCTGGGAGCAGGAAAGCTGGCTGACCACCCAGCCCGGCTTTGGAAATAAAAGGCCTGTGAAATCATTTGTGCAAGCTCATCCCCGGGGGTGCAGCTCAGGAAACATGATTGAGGTGTGGGGCGGGAGGGGAGGGCTGGATCGTGTGGTCCTCCAGAGCCTGGCCACTCAAGTGCCATCTGCAGACCAGCATCACTGGGGAGCTGTCTGCCCGCCCCAGACCTGCTGAATCAGGGTCTGCATGGTAACAAGATCCTGTGCACATTATAGTGTGACTCCCTGCTTTGGAGTGGGGACTAGGTTTGAGTCCCAGCTCCCTGCTTACTAGCTGTGTAACCTTAGACAAATTACTTCACCTCTCTGAGCCTCAACTCTCTCATCTACTAAATGGGGTTGGGTAAACATTTTTTTACCTGAGAGAGTTAATTCACATTAAAGCATATGATATATGTATATAAGGCATTGAGCACGGTGCGTGGGACCCAGCCCATGCCTGCCAATAAATGGTTGCTGTTAATGTGTCTGGAGATCTGAAGACATGGGCTGGTGTTCTTGCCATGGGTTGATTTTGAGCAAGTCTCTTTCCCTCTCTGTGCCTCATCTTCTCCATTTGTACAATGGGTCTGTTGACCCTTGCCCCGCCTTCCTCATGAGATGATTGCTCAAAGGAAAGGTGAGGGGGTGCTGTGCCTCATTCCCAAGGGCCCATCTGGGGAATGGGGGTGTGTATCGGTGAGATGCCCCCGGGTGCCTGTGTTCAAGGAGAAGATATGCCTGTCATTCCTCACCCCTCACTGCCCCCATCTCTGCTGTTGCTGTAGGATGCAGTAGCGAGGCTGGCCTCAGAAGCCAGGCTGTAGCCACACCACACTCGGGCTCTCCCGTGCACCTGCTCTGCTCAGCGGCTTTGAAATTGAGTCCCCTTCCCCCCTCAGGGCAGCGTGGCCAGGAGAGATGATTCAGCTCAGGACCTGTGTTCTGGGCCTTCACCTCCCTTGACAGAAGTCCCAGATGCCCCATGCTACTGGGTAGGGTGTGGGTGGCTTGGGAACTTCTCCCACTTGGGATTCTTGTCCTCCACATTGGGCTTGTCCTTCTTAACCAGATGTGGCCTGGGGCTAGACTCTTAGCCCTGCCTCTGATGTACTGGGTGACCTTGGGCAAATGATTTGTATGCTCTGGGTCTCAGTTTCCCTATCTGTACAGTGAGGGGGACCAGTGAGACGGCCCTGCCTGGGTTAGGCACTTAGATCCTCTCCCTGCCCCTCCTTAGCTAACTCTGTGCCCTCCAGCCCTGGCAGGAGCCCTAGTCCCAGCCGCACTGCTGTCCAGGTCCGGACCCTGGAGCCCGTGGCAGATCTAGGCCTGGCAGCTAACGTCGGGGCTGGTAAAGACCAAAGAGAGCTGGGAGAAGGAGAGCGCGTGTGTCCTCTGGGAGCCCTGGCTAGGGCCTTCTGGTGTAGGAGAGGAGGAATTTTCCTCTGTGTGTGCAAACAATATCCATCTTCTCTTGTTTCCAAAAGCTGGTGACGTCATCGGCTCTTCATCCGTTCCTCCCCTCTGGCCTATTTTTAGCTGGCCCCGACAGCATCCTAAAAGGCTTCCAGACCTCCCTGCTCTGAGGCCATGTAGGGAGGGCAGCAGTGGGGTCAGGAGAGAGAGAAGCTTGTCTGTCTGGCCCAGGATGGAGGGAGGGAAGGAGCCTGCCCCCAGCTCTTCCGGGGAGAGAGGGGACTCTGCATGGGGACAGTGGGTTAGGGCTCAGGCTTTGACGGCTCCTGCGTCTATGGGAAGCCCCGCAGGGGGTTACGAGCAGTCAATGTGGGGCCTCCCACCAGGGTTTGAGTCCTGGCTCCACCTTCCTCACCCTGACCTTGGGCACAGGACTCTGTGTCTTCCTTTCTTCACCTGTAACACAGGGATAATGATAATGCCTACTCCAGAGGGTTGAGTGACTTTATGTAAAACAGTGCCTGGTACAAATAAGTCTCGATAGAGGGGAGCTGGTGTTGTTACGGTTATTATTGTTATTATCATCTGACCCCAGGGAACCGCTCCTACCCACTTCCTGGGTACGCTATGAATCTTGTGCCTTCTCCCCTCTCTCCTTTCCTGTCAAGCTTCAACCAATGCATGCATGAATGAAACAATACATGGAAAGTTCTCGGTATGGGGCCTGGCACATAATAAACGCTAAATAAGTAAGAGCTATATTTATTGGGTTTTGTTTTAATGTAATAAAAAAGACTTGGGTTTGAATTGTAGCCCCATCTGCTGACAAGCTGTGTGTCTTTAGATGAGACATTTAACCTCTCTGAACCTCAGTTTCCACATCTGTAAAATGGGATAATAACACCTATGTAGGGGATTTCTGTGTTGGTTATGGTGGGCTGCAGGACAAAGAGACTCCAAGATTGCAACGCTTGGCACAATGAAAGTTTGTTTCTTATGGATGCAAAGAAGAGCCTGAGGTTGGAGCTGGCTCCAGCCTGTAGTCCTATGGGCCAGCCTTGCTACTGCCTCTTGCAGCAACAGAGAGAGCAGCAGCATTTGCACAGCACTTTAGTTTGTGTGAAGGCAGGGTGGCGATCCTGCCCACCTTTGTCTCTCCACCATGCCATGCTCATGCCTCGAACTTGGCACTTGTCACCGCCACCTGGTATTATGGTCATGCATCAAGCCATCCTCTCACACACCATCCCTAGGCTGGGAGCTCCTGGAGGGCAGGCAGGGATGGAGTCCCCAATGCACCCTCCTCGCCCAGCCTGGGCACAAGCTGGCATTGTGTCTGAGGGCTGGACTGGCATGGGGAGGTCACACTCTGACCACCTGTCCTTCTTGGCTTTTGCAGATGGGAGGAGGAACTCGCCAAACGCATGAACCTTGAGACCATGGTGGAGACGCTGCAGGAGGTAAGAGTCCTCAAGGTTCTCATCAGGAGAGGCACACAGGAGAGCCATGTGGCCAGGGCACAGTCTTCATGGGCAAAGCTGGGAGGCAGTTCCCAGCACAGTCCCTGTTCTGCGTTTCCTCCTGCTGCCTCAGTTTCTTCTCTATGGAGCCCAGAGGCCTCTTCTGCATCCTTTACTTTAGAGCTAGGAATAGACCAGCCTAGTGTCACAGAAAAGCTCAGATACAGGAGTTGAGAAGCCTGGGCCCAAGTCCCAGGGATGCCCCAGCTTGCTGGATGACCTGGGGCCAGTGACTCCCCTCTCTGGCCTCTGTCTTCCTACCTAGGGCTGGCACTAGGTAGTCCATAAGCCCCTGGTGCCCCAGCTAGCAGGTCCCCTGCGTTGGGGCAGAATGCCTTGGAGAGGGGGTGTGTAGGCATGACACCAGGAGGGCTCCCAGCCCAGCAGACTCCCCAGAGCATTAAGGACCTTCCCCTCGCTGCTCTGGCTGGTAGCTCTGCATTCTGGACCTGCAGTGCACCCTAAACAGCAAACTTCACCTTCTTGGCCTCTATTTTCCTCTCCATCAAATGGGAACATGAGTAGTGACCCCATGAAAAGACATGAAAAGTTCTTTCAAAATTTCTAAAAAATTGGGCCAGCCCATGGCTCCCTTGGGAAAGTGTGATGCTGATAACACCAAGGCCATGGGTTCGGATCCCTATATAGGGATGGCTGGTTAGCTCACTTGGGAGAGTGTGGTGCTGACAACACCAAGTCAAGGGTCAAGATCCCCTTACTGGTCATATTTAAAAAAAAAAAAATCTAAAAAAGTGCTTTCTGATATTTAAAGCATTTACCTTCTAAGAAAGTTAGAGATAGATTGAAATAATTGTCAATGTATAGAAGGAAAAGGATGAATGCCCCCCTTTCATGACAAAAGTATTTTTTTCTTTATAAACGTATCATGTTGTGGTCAAATAGTAGGAAAATTCAGAAAAGCACAGAGAAGAAAATAAAATTACCTCCAGTTCTACCTTCCACAGGTGATAAATTGGTGTGCAATCTTCCAGTCTTTTCTGTGCAACACACACCTACACCCTCTCGATGCACATGTTAGGTTGACATACATGATGTTGCCATTTTTAAGACCAGAGATAGTCAAATACCTTCAGTTTCAAATGGATTGATATTTTAATGTATTGAGATCACTTGTTACATTAACCTGTTCTTTTCCTCTTAACATCTGCCACAGATTTTTCCATGCAATAAATAATCCTTGAAAACCTGTTTTAAGCAGTCAGCAGGGAAGCCAGGCAGGGACGAGGTCCTTGGCTCCCTTCGCTGGCATGCAGGCGCCCAGCCTGGTTGGATATCCTGCCTCTCAGGATGCCTGGTCCCTCTAAAGCCTCCCCCGTCTCTGTCCCCGCAGGCGGCGCAGGAGGCTGATGCCATCCAGGAGGAAATGAATGAAAAGATCGAGCGGCTCAAGGCCGAACTGGTGGTGTTTAAGGGGCTCATGAGTGACGTAAGTGCCACCTGCCATCATCCCAGGTGTTGTGACCTCCCCCCACACCTGTCATGCAAATGCTTCATTCACTCCGAGGCTCCAGAGCTCAGCTTCTAGTTAGAATCCTGGCTGGCTGCGTTTGACCGTGAGGATGACGGATGCATCGGAGACCGGGCGCCCTTCTCCCCGCCACCTCCCCATTTCCGCTTCCATCGGTCTGAGTAGAGATGCATTAATCTGCTGCTTAACCCATCCCGCCCTCCCTGGGGGTTCCACTGATTGTCTGTGTGTGTTTGCTCTGACCCCTTCCCAGCGCGCCTCAAAGAGGGTGGGCCCGGTGGGGCCACCGTGGGGCACAGTGGGGCAAATGGCAGCTTGGGGCCCAGTGTGGTCTGGTCTGTGCCAGCCTCAGAGGCTCTGTAGTGGCCTTCAACAGTGTTACTTTGTAGGGTCAGGAAAGGCCAGTGTGCGTGTCCTTTTGACAATCTGGGCCCCTCTGAGTAACTACTGGTTGGGGGAGCTGTTGGCAGCAAAGGTCTCCTTGCTGCTGGGGACCTGGGTGTCCTGATGCCTTTGAGCAGCAGGTGGTATGTAGACAGAGCCTGCCAGAGAGAAAGAGCCTGAACATGGGTGGCTCAGCCTGGTGTGGCTCCTGCTGCTGAGGGGCATGAGGCTGGGTGTGGTTGGAAGAAGCCTCCAGGGACCTCAGGTGGAGGCCACCTGGCTTCCCCTCACTTGGGTCCTAGACGACCCCCCGCTGCCAGAATAGGAGGAATCCAGGAGAAAGACCTGCCTTGGCAGGCACTGCTGTGTGAGGAACAGGTGGGGCATGCGGGTAGGCAAAGAAGGAATATCTTTCAACAGTGGGAGTGGTCTTTCTTTTTTTCTCTGCTCTAACAAAATCAACACTGACTCTGTGTCTGCTGAGAGGACGCCTTCCAGCCCTTAGGGAGACCAGCACACAGAGTCTCACACTGTCCGCTCGATGGGTGCCGAAGCCCTTAACTCCTGAGGCCCCCACGTCCTTCCCTACCCTGAGCAGTGCTGACCCAAGCCTCCACTCCCAGGAAAAGTTCAAGGCTCCCTCGTACTCTGGGGGCCTCCCCACCTCTCAGCCCAGCCCCTCCTGCTTGCTCCATCCCTCACTCACGTAACCCCCTGCTGTCCTCCCTGCAGCCCATGACAGACCTGGACACAAAGATCCAAGAAAAGGCCATGAAGGTGGACATGGACATCTGCCGCCGAATCGATATCACGGCCAAGCTGTGCGATGTCGCACAGCAGCGGAACTCGGAAGACGTGTCCAAGATCTTCCAGGTGACCAGCTCACCAGCTGCCACCCCCACCCCCCAGAGCAGCCCTGGCTCCAGCCCTGCCCAGCCAACCCGTTTCCCTCGACAACCCGCTCACTTCCCTTCCTAGAGAGGTAGCATTTACCCGGTGCTCTGGCCTCCCCAGGGAAATGTAGAATCAGGGACTCATGGGCTCATAAGCCCATCTGACTCCACCATCAAGCCTGACTGCTTTGTCCTGTGGCTGAGGAGACCGAAGCCCAGGGTGATGTGATATGCTCAGGAAGGAAGTGGCAGAGTTGGCTAGAACTCAGGTCCCCTGATCCTTCAGGGCTCGGTCCACCAGCCTACACAGTGTCCTCTGCCCCGCTGCCTGCCTCTTCCTCTGGGTGCCAGAACCAGGCATCATCTCCACGGTTAGGGAGCCCTGGCCAGGCTACTGGGAGAACTGCAGGAGCTGGCCTGGGCCCTGGCAGACGGGTCTCAGAATTCAGAAGAGGAGTGTTGGCCTTTGACTATTTTCTGTTACCTCCAAAGAGTCTCTTCACACCCCCCTGACCTAACGTGCAAGTGTGGGTGCCCTGAGCAAAGGTGCCGGGTTAGCGTTGGTGAGGCTGGCCTCTGAGAGGCCTTGGGGGCTGGTCCAGCAAACTGAGGGCACACACCATTCTCCGAAGGCTGCTTCTTGACTTTTGGGTGTGGTTTGGCTTTTGCTTGGGCCCAGGGCAGTACGGTGCATTGTCGCTTTATGTGTGTGACTTTGGACATAGATGGCGTCATGTGGGCCTCCCTGGGGCCCTTTCTCCACCTCCATGCCTTCTTGCTGCCCCTGTGCTGGGAAGCAGGGGAGACCGAGGCAGCCTCTGTTTGTTCCTGTCTTGTGTGCTTGGAGTAGAAGCTCGGTGAACCTTGGGCCACGTGTCCATTGCTTTTGCATGTGAGCAGGAAGGCTCTGGGAAGCATGGAGTGGTTTTGGCCATGGTGAGGGGTTCTCTGTCTTCCTGGCTGGCTCTGAGACATCCCAGGGGACTCTGTGCTCCAGTCTGGCCCAATGCTCTCCCCAAATCCTGGGGCTGCTTCTTTGTGAAGGGGTGAGGCCTCCTAGGGCAGGGAGGGTCCAGGCCATCTGTGTCCTTCACTCTGCATGTGTCTCACCTCACGCTTCCTGCTAACGCCACCTGCTTCTTAGAGGACCTGCGCATCTTTCCCAGCAGTGGCTGGCTCCAGCCACACTCCATCCATCCCGTGGGATGCTGGCTCCCTTCCCAGTCTACCCCTACCCTCCATCCCAGCCAAGCCCCCCAGTTACCTTAATCTCTTTCTTCCCCGTTCAGGTGGTCCCCAAAAAGAAAGAGCGTAAGGTGACTTCGGATGATGACATCTCCGAGCAGGAGGGAGAGGTGAACCGGTTCTCAGATGACGAGGTTGGCTCCATGAACATCACGGACGAGATGAAACGCATGTTTAACCAGCTGTGAGTGTCCCTGCTGCCCCTGCTGGGCACTTCTCTCTGTTGCCCCAGATGGCTGGGACAGGGCTGGCCTGGGCTGGGGCAGCCTTCAGATAGGTTTTGTTGGTTAGCACGGTGCTCTTGAAGAATTTGGGTTCATTTTCAACATTTATCATTTGGGGAGTTTCATATTTTCAGTCTCTCTTGGAATATTGATAAGAGCAGGCGTTGCCGGGCCCCTGGCATAGTGGAGAGGGTGGGTTAGCGGCTGCTGAATCTGGGCCCGGTGGGCGCTCTTCTGCGTGCTGCCATCCTTCCCCCTAAAAAGGGGTGAGAGGAGAAATTTGCTTCAGCTCAGTGAGGGGGATGGGGGGGCTGTTCTTGCCCATGGCATGAAGGGGCTAGGCTGTCCCCTGGGCATGTGTAGAGTGTCTGATTCTGATGACTCCATGATCCAGAGGGCCCATGGTAGTGGTGACCATATTTGTGGGCTATTCTCAATCAGGCCTTCGATGGATCCACTCCTCTAGTCTGCCTCTGCTGGGTTGGCTGAGTTGACCCACGCATGGGTCAGAGGAGGGCTCCCGAAGTTCCCTGAGCATTGTCCATGCCAAGGGCACTTTACAAACGTCATTTCACTGACGCTCAACCCAGGAGGTAGGGTTCTCACTCTCCTTTTGTAGACAAGGAAACTGAGGCTCCGAGAAGAGAAGCCACATGGCCGACTGCTCAGACCTGGGATTCAGACCAGGCCTGTCACTCACTGTGGTGTGCCCCCACTGTGCCATGCTGCCCGGGGATGGGGGTGGTCAGAAATGGGTCAGAGCTGGCTGGTACCAGCTCTTGGAAGCTGGTTGTGTGCATGTCTGTCCACTCCCTGTCCAGTGATGTCACAGTAGTAGCTTAAAATTTGCCACTGTAGGAAGCTGGCAAATGCTGCCAATCAGGGCTCCACTCCCCCGCCCCTACAGACAGCTTGTTTACAGCACCTCGCTGGGTGTAGTTGGCTTGGGGCAGGAATGACATTGTGGCCGTGACCTTTTCAGTGCCATATTCTCATTCCTGATCCATCTTTACTCTAAGCCATGTAGTACCCTAAAGTGGGATGAGGCAGGGGAAGAAACAGGTGCAGCTGCGGGCATAGGATGACTTCTCTGAGGGTCTTGAGTCACAGGGCAGGGCTGGGACTTGGTCTCTGGGGTCTGTCTTTTCCCCAGCCCACTGGCCTGCTCTCTCTCTGGAGTTCCTCACAGTTGGGCCCCTACACTCTGAGAACTCTTTTTCCCAGTCCTGAGGCTGGCTTAGTGTTACACAGCCCAAAGATCACACCACCCAGCCCCTGCATCGTACAGATGAGGAATCAGGCCCATGCGAGAGGGGCACGCAAGGAGTTAGCACAGAGCCAGGCCCCTCTTCACGGCATCACTGTCCCTGCCCTGGTCCCCTTGCAGCTAAGCCAGGCTGACTCATAAGGAAGATGAGGAGGCAGGGGCAGGAGTTGGAACTGGGATAGGGATGGGAGTTCCTTTGCCCGATATTTCCCTGGGTCTGCCATTCCCTCGAAACAGAACAAGATGGGGGCTGTATTGGGGGTTTACTATTTGAGGGTGATGAGGAAACCCCTTGATTCATTCATCTTGGATATCTCATATTCTCTTCTTTGGCTGACAAGAGGGGCTGTTGAAAAGAACTACTGGTTAGGTATAGGTTTTCTGAATGTTGCTCTGAGCATTTCTGAGCCAGAGCCCCCAGGCTGGGTTCATTTGGTTGAACTAAGGGCTTCTCTGGAGAAATCGCAAAGTCCCCAGGGAATTGTTAAGCTGACCAGGAATGGAGTGGGCTGCAAAGGGGCACATTCTGAAAGCCAAGTCATGGGCAAAGGCTCCTGTGTGTAGAAAAAGCATTCAGATCAGTCAGGCGAGAACATGCTGCAGAAATGGGCGCCTGCCTGTCGACAGATCTAAATTGGGTACAGTATCTAATTAGATTTGTCTGTTTGTAAAGTTGCCCAAGTTAAAGAAAAACCCTCTGATCCCTTTGATCACCCCCAAGCCCCCACTCTGTAGTTCTAAGCAAGGCCACACTCACTCCACCCTGGGCGGGGCCCTGACATCTCCCCAAGCTGGAGGCTGCCCCCACCCCCCGGCCAGTTGTAGTGAAGTCTTTGAATAATGCACCCATGTCAAGGCTGTGTTTTGATTTGATCCAAATCAGTTGCTTGGGCTTCAGACCAAGGAGAAGAAGAGGAATTTGCTGCTTTCTCTGCACCGGGGCCAGACCTGCTCCTCAGCTCAGCCCCACCTTCCAGATTTGTGAAGGGTGGGGGTGCCTCTTCTGAGTCCCTTCCCTTGTCTATCTTCCTTTCTCTTTTGGCTCCCGGTCCCTCAGCTGGAGTTTCCTTGAGATTCCAGAGGCTGGGAAGGAAGTGAAGTCAGGAGTTGAGTATGTGATGCGGTGACGGTTGACCCCAGGGTCCCCGGAGACGTGCCTCCCTCTCCAGCACCTCCCCCTTCCCCCTCCCCCAGTTCAGGCTCCCACAGAAACTGCTTTTTGGTGAGGAATCTGCCCGGCCTGACTCTAGGGGGTGCTGTAAGCTGCTTTTTACCAGAAATGCTTTCGCATTGGGCCGATCCAGTGATTCCCAACCCAGTCCATCGCATGGTGGTCGGGAGCAATGCCCTGAGGATCTAGGAAGGAGTTGAAGGAGGGAGCGTAGGCAGTGGGGAGAGCCCTGGGATGGGAATCTGGAGATGGCATCCACACCCTCCCATGCCAGTGATTTGCTGGGTCAAATGATTTAACTCCTACGCACTCAGCTTTGCATTTGAGTAGTGGGTGTGCTGGGTGGGATGATGTTTAAAGTCCCCTCCAGTTGGGATAACCAGTGCATCTTGGCAGACCCCTTAGTCCCAGGCAAACCTGGATGGTTGTTCACCCAGATCTAGCCAATCAGGAGGCTCTGAAATCACTTAGGTTTTGAATTCAAATCCATTTTCCAGCATGTAATGGTCTAGAAGGCCACCCAATCCCTCTGAGCCTCAGTTTCCTTACCTGTAAAATGGGAATAATAATTACGCTTACCTCACAGGATTGTTTTGAGGGTGGAATTGGTTGCATTTTAATATATACTTAGTGACCATCCCAGTGCCCAGCACACAGTGGGTGCTTGGTGATGTTTTCATGGGGAGGAAAAAGATGTAGAAAACAGAAGATCTGGCTTTCAGCCCCAGTTTCTGCTACATGCTAGCTGTGTGGCTTTGGACAAGTGACTTATTCTTTCTGAGCTATAATTTCCTCGTCTGTAAAATGGGAATAATAATATCAACCTCTCCCAGTTGCAGAGAACATGATATAAATCATCTTGTGCAAAGTAGCAGCTCAAGAAATACCTGTCAAATGAATGAAAAAAATCACAAGATTGGACTCAGGAGGAAAATATCTTTAGTCTCCATTAAATCCTGGCACCTTAAAAATATACATTTTAAATGGTACAAATAATATATATATACATTCTTCATTTTAAAAGAGTTAAACTCTTTTTGGGTAAGGCCAGTGTCCCCTCTGGCTACCACCCCTGTCTTTTTTGAGGACAGCCTTGTAGGTGTATACCCACTGAACAGCTGCTCCTTTGTGTCCCCTGAATGGGCCCCTGGAGCCTGCCTTCTGCTCACTCATGCCCTCTGGTGTCACCCCTCTAGGCGGGAAACCTTTGATTTTGATGACGACTGTGACAGCCTGACTTGGGAAGAGAATGAAGACACGCTGCTGCTCTGGGAGGATTTCACCAACTGCAATCCAACCATTGACTTGCAGGGCGAGGTGAGGCCAGGGCCTGGCTTCCCAAAGCCCGGGGGTTGGGGGGCACCTTGTTTCAATGATCCCTCATCCTGTTCTTCCCCTGCAGCCCCCACCACCCAGCTAAATTGTCCCCTTTGTTCTGTTTCTCCAGCAAGAGGAAAACTTGGGCAACTTGATCCACGAGACTGAATCCTTCTTTAAGACGAGAGACAAGGAGTACCAGGAAACGATAGGCCAGATAGAGGTGAGGTCTTGGGCCGTGGAGTCCACTAGTGAGGCTCCCCTGAGGGCCACACAGTTGAGACCCCTGGGAATCAAGTGCCCATGTGGGCAGGGCTGGCAGAGTGGGGGAGGGACAGGGTCAGGAGGCCTACCAATTCCCTGCCTGGTGCTGGGTGAGTCACATCCCTCTTAGGGCCTCAGTTTCCTAATCTATAAAATGGGGATGGTGATCCCTGTATGTCCCAGAGAGGTTTATTTTTTAATTCAGCTGAGATGATAATCTCCTCATAACCAGAGCTGACATTGAGTGATATCAAGTGACACTAACTAAGCACCGAGTACACCCTCCCAGTATCCTTATCTCTACTCTATGCGGTAGGGACTGTGCACCCATTTTATGGAGGAGGAGATGAGGTTGAAAGAGACCATGTGACTTGCCCAAGGCCTCACAGCCAGGAAGCAGCATTGAAGCCAGTTCTCTCTGGTGCCAGAGGCTGTGCACTTGACCACTTCTATAAGTGAGAGTTACTGCTGTTATCATGCTGGAGAAAGAGAAGCCCAGTACTGTCCCTAGAGGAAGTATCATCTGGTAGAGGAGAAGGGTCAGAAACATGCAAGAGATGATGTGAGGATTTTTTCTGATTAAGTCCACCATGAAGAAGCTCAGAGATGCTGAGCATGGTGGAATTATCAGAACTCCATGGGACTTATCAGGGCAAGCTGCGTCTGGGGTTGCTAAGTAACCACTCCCCTTTGACCAGAAGTGGTTCTAGAGGTGATGGACCAGTGTGCAGAGAGTAGAGGGTAATGGAGGTTGATGTCCTGAAGCAGAGTCCTGAGGGCCTGATGTCCAGTGGTGGCCTTGATGGTGTCACCGCTGAGGAAGGGAGGAGAGAGGTTGCTGAGGGCTCTGCCTTGAGGATGACTTGCCCTCCCCTGGGTCCCCCTTGGTTCCTCCCAGCTGGAGCTGGCCACGGCCAAGAGTGACATGAACCGACACCTGCATGAGTACATGGAGATGTGCAGCATGAAGCGTGGCCTGGATGTGCAGATGGAAACCTGCCGCCGGCTCATCAAAGGCTCCGCAGACAGGTACCCGGCCTGCCCTACCTGGGGACTCAGCAGTGGAGTCCTTGGAACTGCAATTTATAGCCTGGCCATGTTTCATCTTCCCAACCCATCTGTCTGTCCCTCCATCCATCCACCCATGCATCCAGGGAATATTAGCCCACCTACTATTACTATGTGCTGGATGGGTTACATATCCAATCTCATGTAACTACTGCCACAAACCTGCCCCCCAGTGATTCAGCAGATACTTGTCAAAGGCCTCCTATGTGCAAAGCCATGGGGATGCAGTAATGAGCAGATCCCCTACCCTCTTGGAGCTTAAGCCCCATTTTCTGCTGACTTGGGGTGGGGTGGGGTGGAGGAAGTAGACGGGGCATCCCACCATTGCTGATTAGGCTCCTATTGGGAAGGTATTTCCCTTTCTTTCCCATATGCCATCCCAAGGCCAGATGTGCCTGTGTCTGGGAAACTGACATGCATCAGGCGTGACACAGACAAAGACAGAGCCCCTGACTTCAGGGCACGCAACCTTGTTGGGGGACAGATGCGCTGGTAACAAAATGAGATAATACATGAAGAATGCTTGGCGTAGAGCACAGATACACATAGATTGTAATTGTCTTTCTTATTATGACTTTGCTGTACAAGAGGGAGAGACGCTCTGTGGGAAGCACTGGGGGCAGGGGGCTCAGCTTAGCCTGCTGTGCCTCTAACTCACTGAATCCCCCAGAACCCACTGCTATTATCTCCATCATTTAGACGGAGGAGCAGACGGTTAGTTAGGCAAGTTGACAAGGTTGCCCGAGGCCCCCAGCTCATCTGTGATAGAGCCAGAATTCCAGGCCAGGGCTGGTGATTGGAGGTTGAGAACCAAGCTCAATCCATGATCCCTGCTCCCACGCTCGGGCTTTCCGTTTAGAGAAGCTGGTGCATCCAGACCAGTTAGAGGCCAGGGCAGGGGGCCCCACGAGGTCTCAAGAGCCATGTGCAACTTATGAGCTTAGGGGATTCTGAGCAAGGTGGAGCCAGGTCCGGGTTTCAGGGCAGTACCCCCTCTGAGGGTCGATATTACAGGAATGATTGCTCAGCCCTCCTGCTCCTTGGCCCGTTAGGGGCCCCAGGCTGCTCCTAAATGTTCCCCTTTCTCTCTTACTTTCCAGGAATTCTCCGTCCCCCAGCTCTGTGGCCAGCAGCGACTCAGGAAGTACAGACGAGATCCAGGATGAGTTCGAGCGGGAGGCAGATGTGGAGCCCATGGTCAGCTGATGACCGAGGCCCCATGTGCCTGGTGGTCTTGGTGACGGGGTTCCTGCCCCGCTCTCCGCATGGGGCCAGGAAGGCTCTTCGGGGTGGGGCTTAGGTCCTCATCACACAGACTTCCTGCGCCTTCCCTTCTCTGGAGGCCCCGAGGGACTGCTGCTTCCTTCCACCTCCCTCCCCCAGCACCCCTTCTCCACCCACCCACCCACCCAAGGAATGGTGCTGTCAATTTCTATTGTTCTCCACTTTACAAACGCAGACTTCTGTCCGGACGATGCAGTGTTAACTGTGCCTTCTCCCTTAAGCTGAGCCACTTTGAGCTCCAGAGAATTATTCCTAGCAGGTGTTTTTATACAAAACTCTAAGGTGAGGGTGGGGGCCCCGGGCGTGGGATAATGTGGTTTTCTACCCTCCCACCTGCTCCTCTGATTGGCCATGAGCTATGCCCTTCCTTCCCGTCTGCCAGCGCTGACCTACCTGGGGCTGGGGATGGTCTGCCTTCCCCGCAGGAAGCAGCCACTTGCCTCTGCAGCCTTTCCAGGCCTGGGTGGGAACTTCCCTGATATTCTTACTCACTGAAAGAAAAGATGGAAGGAAGGGAGGGAAGACAAATTTTTTTCTTTTTGGATCGAGTGGCAAAGTGGAGGGGCAAGGCACCGTGGGGGCAGGTGGAACCTCACTGTGTTTAAACTACTATGCAAAAAACAAACAAAACAAAAGCAGCTTGCCTTACATCATTGTGGGAGGTAGGCCCTCTCCCAGACTTCTGGTTCCCATGGCCCCCCTGGGGCTGGGAGGGAGGCCCAGGTTGGGATGGGACCATCTCTCTCGCAGCCTCTGAGGGTGAGCACTGACCGGGAAGGGGGTGCGGTCAAGGTTGGTAGCGAGGCCTGGGTTCCTGCAAGGCCATAGTCCACCTGACTGCTTGCTTTCTTTGGGACCTCTTGGGGTCGGGGTGAGGGTGGGGGTTCCTTTCATTGCCCTAATGACTTGATGTTCTCCCTCCCTCTCCAGCCAACAACAAGGGGTTCTAGGTCTGTAATTTCTCTGTGAGAAAGTCTGAAGGGGTCAGGCCTGCTAACCACCCCCTCCCCCAGTGGAGCTTGGATTGGTACTGGCCTACTGTCATCTTGGTTCTCCATGGTGCCGCAGTCGCCCGCTACTTGGCCACTGGTGGGGAAGAGACATTGGAAAGGGAAGGGGAAGGAGGCAGCAAGGGTTGCTGGCAGATTGGAGGTGGCTTGAGTGCGCACTCGAGTGAGGACCGTCCTCGTTCTGTTTGTGGATGTGCATGCAAGCCTCTTTCTGTAAATCACTTGACTGACCAATAGGGGGGCGAATCTGAGCCAGTATCTCCCCAAGACTTGAGTGGCTTCAGTGGGCCTGAATTGAAGGGCAATGTGTTGAGACCACCCACCAAATCTCAGCTTGGAGCCAGCCAAGCAGGCTTTGCTTTTTCTTTTTTAAACTTCTTTTTGAACCCACCATGGTGGGGATGAGTGCTGATTTTTGTTTTCGTTGGCCTGAGAGCTCCCTCTGGAGGTCAAAGCAGCAAAGTGTGCCCAAGGACCATGAACCCCCTCACTACAGGCTGCCTGTGTCTGCAGGCAGAGGAGGGGACGCTGGGTTTGAGTGGGATCGTGGTCCCCTGTCTTTCCTCTCCTGGGCACCATCGACCTTTCAGGGCCTTTTCTCTCTTCCATTTCCCCCACCTGTTTTGTAGTCTTAAAACCGTTGTACAGAATATTCAGACACATGTATAGAGAGAGACAGAGAGAATGTTAGTGACTGTGTGTGATGTAATTTATCAGAATCTGGTGGCATTTATCATGAGTTTCTTCCCTTGTTTTACTTTGTTTTGTTTTGCTGGGAGAACATCGCACTGGTTCTCTGCAGCAGTCTGGCTATGAGGCTTCCATTGCCAGTGTCCCTTGTTAGCCAAGCAGTCCCTTTTGGCAGGTACTTGGAAGGACAGTGATTTTGGAAGAGAAATAGCTCCTTTCTCTCCTCCTCGCTGACCCTTGTTCTAAAGGTTACAGGGTTTAAACATACCTGATTATTATTGTTATTGTTGTTATTGTTGTTTTATTTTTATTTTAACCAAAGGTTATCAGAGCTAGTTGGGCTTGGACCTCAGCTGCTGAAAAGATTTTCCGTTTCCATGACGGCAAGAAAATGCCGTATCCAGGGCTGAGGGAGGTTTGGAAGTCGGGTGGGCAGAGTGGAGCCAGCCCTGGATTGTTCCTCAAGGTGGTGGGAAGGTGACAGACATATCTTTAGAGTTAAGACAGCAAGAAACAGTATAAGTATTTGAGGACAACTAAGGCTACCATGGCAATTGGTGTCCAGTGGTACTATTTTTGCTTTGCCTCTTGTATACATAGGTCATCTGTTTTGGGGGACTAGGGTGCTCTGAATTTGTTTAGGGAATGTGAAAGTGGCAGGAGCCAGAGAGAGGGACACGGGCCTGAGAGTTCCTGCTGGCTTTCAACATTGGCTCTCCCCTCGGGAGGGAGAATTGGGGGCAGGAGGACGGGGGCAGGACTAGCAAGGGTGTGGTGGATCTGCCTCCTGGGCTGGCTCCTGGGTCTTGGTCTAGCTGCCTTCCCACCAAATCCTCTTTCAGTTTGTTGCCAGTGTGCCCTGCGTGTCCCCTTGCCATGAGCCCACAGCTTGCCAAGAAGACTCCACTGCTTGCTGGGGCAGCACCAGGCCCAGTTGGGACAAACTGGTCCGTCCTTTGTAAAATTGTAAATACTTCATTTTGGTTTTCTATTTCTAAGCCCAGTGTCATATTGACACTGGTATATAGAATTGTTCTCAGATGGGCCCTTCTGTGCTGCCCTCTCTCACTCTCCTATTTTGGGGGGTTTTATACACAAACAGAGGATCAGGGAGGGGCAGGGATAGTAGCATTCTTTTGGCTCCCAGGTTAGTTGTGAAACACACACACACATACACACTCACGCGTGCACACATGCTCCTCTGAGACTCTGAACAGAGAAAAAAAATTATCGGCAAGCAAACACATTTTGCTTTCTAGTGGCGATATGTCCTGAGGTCTCTGAAGGACCAGTCCATCATGGACATGGCTCTGTGGGTAGAGCTCAGATGACCTAGTGAGAATCATACCACTTTGGTTTGGGATGGGAGGAGAGGGGGCAGGGTAGGGGATAACGTAGAGTGTAACGTAAGCTTTATTTATAAAGCCAGAGACTGTCATCTATTTTTATGAAAGGAAAGGTTTTTAACTCTAGGGTAGGCAGTTGGGATAGCCCAGCATTTTTCTGTGGACAAGATATTGTGCATGTTGCTGCTGGACTGAATATAATCAGTACCCCTCGCCTGTCTTGTTCTCCCATCCTCAATTCTGGTTCATCCATACCCATGAGCAGCTTCAGCAGAGTGTATATCCCACTTCACCCCACTTTCCTCTCCCTGTACCCCTCAGCTCCTTGGAAGTCTTTGTGAGGGACACCGGTGGGGGCAAGTGGGCTTTGAGGGATTCAGAATTGAGGTGGGTGGGGATAGGGAAAAGGAGAACTCTGTAGGGGATGAGATCTGCTGCAGAGGGTAGGCTCTGAGTAGTTACCCAATCTCTGGTCTGCCAAGATCCATTTCCAACTTCGCTGTATTAGGAGAGGGTTGGGAAGCAGCAGAGTGCGGGTGGCAATGGGGCTGTTGGTTTGGGGAGCACACGGCTTCCTTAGGGCCTGGGCCCTAGTGGGTCCCAGGTTGTCAGGCAGCTGGAGCAGGAGTGGGAATGCTAAGATGCCCACAGCCCAGTGCTGGCTGTGCCTACACCAGGCCAAGGGCTGGGCTGCAGTCCCTGTTGTGCTCTTCCCAAGCCCTGGATGAGGGACGAGGGAGCTGGGGGACTCCTCAGACCTGGGTCCTCCCCCTTGAGACACCGAGCCCTGGATCTAGAAGGGCACCCTCAGAGAGTGGGGAGTCTGGAGGTGGCCAGGTGGGTACTGTTTGTAAAGCCAAATTCTCTCTGGAAGGGAATTTTCCATGAGTGGAAGATTTCCAAGCTCAAGATGAGCTATGCATTAGTCTTGTGCAAATCCTTCCCCTCCCTCCCAGTCCCTCAAAGAAATGAGGCAAAGGCACTCCCTGCCAAAACCCCTTTGTGGACATTTTAGCATCTACCTGATTTTTAGCCCCATCCAGGGAGACCTATCCTACCTGACTCTTGCTGTTTGTCTGCCAGCTGGGTCTAGCATCACGGGGAAGGGGGGGTTTATACTCATGGAAAGACTACTGATCCTACCAGAAAACCAACCTGTTTACTGTACTGTTGTAAATATCATGCCCTTTATATCCTGTATATTGGCTTCTTTTAAATAAAGTGAAATGTCTTAAAATTGATGGTGCATTTTTTAAAAATTGAGGATGCAAGTGGTGATGGGGGAGGGGCAAGATGACTGAGGGCCACATAAACACAAACAAATTTATTAGCCAATTAGTGATAAAATAGGGAAATTTCACATCACCTGTTACATTTGCATCTTGTAATAAAATCTTTGGAAGAAGATAAAGCAGGAATTACTACATTTTACAGAAGTGGAAGAGAGGGCCAGAGAGATCACAGGCTGAGTAACAAACAGGCTTAGCCTGGTTAGGAATTGAGATCCTGTTGACCCAAAGCCCCAAACTCTGTCAAACTTCCCCGACATTGTTCACAAGAGGCCACCTCCTGAGGTTCTGGATTTGATACTGTCCAATGTTCTAGTTTCTTCTTGTTAATGGCCATATTCAGGGCGACATTGCCCCATGTGAACTGAGTCCACCTGAGTAGGGTCTTCTCCAATGATGAAGAGAAACAGCCACCACCAATTCCAATTTGCTTTTTGCTATCCCTAAGACTTGCACTTAGGTATTTTTTTTCTCTACTCCCCACTCTTTGAATGTTTCAATTCCACAAAGTGTCTTAAATGTGGTGGTGATCTGGAGGAAAAGGAGTGGCCTAAGTGATGGGGGCACTCTGAAGTGGGCATTATTACCCCCAGTTTACAGACGAGGAAACTGAGGCCCCGGTAGGCTATGTAATTGGCTCAATGTCATATGGAGACCAGAATCGGCATCACAGCAGACTGCTAAGCAGGTACTTGGTCCACGCTGTTTGAGGAAATAAAAACACAAAACAACAGGACAAAAACCCTAACAGCACTTTAGGAATAGAGTGGGTCCCTAAGCCCTCGTCATTGGAGATGATTTCAGAATCCAAGTTTGAAATAACGCTCCAGCGTTCCCAGAGCAAACTCTCACAGGGAAAACTGAAATAGGTAGGGTGGGGGGAAGGCGCAGGAACAACTGGTTTTGTGGCCAGAGGCTTTGAAGGAAAACCTAAGCATAGACCGGCTGGGGTTTCACATCGTGTTGATCGTAATCTGCAAAGAAGCAGGCCCTGGGAAGCTGGCTGGTTCCACTACAGGTAGGGGCTGGCCGGGGTGTGGCCCTGCGGGGTCGAGGAGTCCGGTGACGGGCAGTTTCCCAGCCTCCCACCGGGCAAGGGCAACCGGAGACGAGGGACAGGCCGGACCGCACCTGATGCGCGGGCCAGAGGCTCCGGCGCAGGGGCTCCTTCCGCCCCGCCTCGGCACGTGTCCCATTCCCGCCCTCTCATTGGCTCTTTCCACCCCTCTCTCCCCGGCCTAAGAAGGCTGCACCATGACCGCCCGCCGATTGGCCCAGGAGCTATCATATGTCACTCTGATTGGTCGGCGCTGCTCACGCCTTCCCCGCTGGGTCATACCATAAGAGAGGGGGTTCCCTGGTCCTGGGTTACCTCTAGCCTCGGAGGAAGGTCGGGATGATATGATGTCTCCCCCCTACCAAGTGGTGCGCTCCGGGCGGGGCCGCGCCGTCCCGCTGCCCAGGGGGCGATCGCTCGGATCCAACAGCCGCGCCGTGCACCTGCGATGCCTCTTCTCCTGTCGCCGCCGCCCGCGCTCTGCCGCGCCCTGCTCGTCCGCCCCTGGAGGGGGGCCGGGTGAGTGAGCCCCGGGCCCGCGGCGGCCCGAGCGCGGCGCTGGCCGGCCTGGGAGCCTGGGAGTCGCTGGGCGCCCCCCGCGCCGGACTCCCTCCTTGCCTGACCCCGGGCTGCTGCGGTCCCCGCCGGCTTCCCCAGGGGATCTCCCCCCGCCCGGGGTCGCTTCCTCTGGTGCCCCAGCCCCCCACCCAGGGCTTCCTCCGTCTGAGGTCCCCGTCGCCCTCAGGGAACCCTGCGGCCGGGCGGCGTGCCTCGGAGCCGCGCCGGGTCCCACTCGGAAGGCGGCGTCCTTCCCTGGGGGCCGCTTCTGTTTTGAGCGCAGCGCGCTTGTCACCGCTCACCCTAGACTCACGTTCAGGGACCCCCCACTTCTGGATTCCCTGACCGCTCCTCCTCCTGCCAGGGTCTCTAGCTCTCTCTGCAAGTGAGATGTTGGACAGACGAGGGACTCCCGTCTGGTGGTAGGTGGGGCAGTGACACTGACCGAGCGCTGGGCACTTGTCGCGTGTCTCCTTGCGAGGATCACGGAGAATTGAATGCATTGAACAGGGCCGGGCACGCAGGCCGTGCCCGGTTATCCTCGTCGTGACATCATTCTCACTCTCGTTTAAACTTGTCACCCCTGTGATGTAGATACTATTATTCCAAACAATGAAGAAAGCGAGGAGCAGTTCCGCGGTGGAGCTGCTCTTCAAACTCAGATTTGCAAACCTCGACCTTGTGGAGTGGGGTTCCTGGGCCCTTGCCCACTCAGTGACAAGTGTTCTCAGAGCCCCTCCTGCTCTGGGCTAGGAAGGGGGAGGGAGATAGGACACAGACCCTGCCCCCGAGGGGCGCACAGTCTGGTGGGGCTGTCCCTGCATGGACCCGTGTTTCTGTCCGCCTGCCTTTCAGAGCTGGGCACCCCTCCTCCCCATCTGAGTTTTGTTTACCTGGCCCGTAGGGCTGTGACTGTCTGTCTCCCCTGCTGAGCTATGCACTTTCTGAGTTAATGAGTGTCCCTCTCCCTGCCCCCAACAGATGGCACTGGGGTGTTTGAACACTGCTGTGTGTTGTCTGTGGGTGGGGAGGGGATAGGAAAGGACACAGGAAGAAGACATGGGATAGAAGGGCTCCTCTTCCAAACTGAGATTTGGGAACCACACTTGCCACATCCTCTGTGATCCCATTTGCAGGCCTCTCCTTGCATTCTGAGACCACCCTTCTCAGACCCCAAGATGGAGGACCCAGGGAGATGGGGCCATCTCACGGATTCATGTGTTTCCTGAACACCCAAGCAGTATATCATCCCATTTTACAGATAGAAAAGTATCTGCAAGTTAAGGCAGATGTAGGATTCATCCCTTAACACAAGGCTTCCTGACTTGAGAGGGGAGAGAGCATTTTACAACCAATCTCAGGCTCAGGTTACCTCTCCCAGTAAGCAGCTGGCCTGATGCCCTAGACAGGATTTCTCAACTTCAGCTTTATTAACATTTGAGGCCAGATAATCCTTTGCCATGGGGTCTGTCCTGTGCATTGTGGAACGTCTAGCAGCATCGCTCGCCACTTCCCACTGAATGCTAGTAGCACCCCCAGTCATGACAATAAAATAAAGTCTCCATTCAATCCCTTTACTGACCAGCAAAAAAAGTCTCCAGACATTGCCAGATGTGGGTGGCGAGGGGCAGAGTTTTCCCAGTTGAGAGCCACAGCTGTAGAAGAACAGCTTTGGTATTTGATCACTTGTAAATTTATTCAACAAATATTTAAGACACTTGGTGTGCCATGTCTGCATTTATGGAGAAACAGTTTTAGGACATTTTTAGTGGTATCTCTGTGTCCTATATGTAAAACTGTCACCCGAGAAAAAAACCTCTTTTGAGGAACTGAAATGGGTGATGTTTAGTGTTTCCTGCTTTGCCCCAAGTGCCAGGAATCTCAACCACTTTTTTAAAAAAATTTTTTTATTTTTAAAAGATGACCGGTAAGGGGATCTCAGCCCTTGGCTTGGTGTTGTCAGCACCATGCTCAGCCAGTGAGCTAACCGGCCATCCCTATATGGGATCCGAACCCTTGGCCGTGGTGTTATCAGCACCGCACTCTCCCGAGTAAGCCACGGGCCGGCTCCTCAACCACTTTTTAAAAAAACACCTTGACAGTGTATTTTCTTTTCTTTTTTTTAAAAAAAATATGTGTCCATTGTAAAAAGTACAGGTAAAGCAAACAAAAACAAAAACAAAAACAAAAACAAACAAACAAACAAAAAACCCCCCAAAACCCAAAAAACAAAAATCACCTGTAATCTCACCACACAGAGGTAACCACTGTCAACATTTTGACTAATGTTTTTAACTTTACATAAATATATATACGCTTTAAAGAAAAAACAACATAAAAATGGACTCATCTGCAAATACTTTTTTGTAGTTTACTTTTTCCTTTTATAGACTTATCTGTCTTATTTTATGTCCCCAAGACCTAAAACAGTGTCTGGTACCTGGTAAGTCCTCAGCAGATATCTGGTGAATGAATGAACTTATCACGTGAGCCCCTCCTCGTCAGTAGATATTTATCACAACTGATCTTGACACAATAAGCACAAACACATGGCCTTAGTGGATGGGCCCTGGTGGCAACGGCTACCATTTGCCTTTTATGTGGATTGTTTTACTCAGCTGCTCAGCAACCTGTGATGTAGGTGTTACTGTCCCCATTTCACAGACTGAACAACTGAGGGCCATGGAAATGAAGGAAAAGTCCAAGGCCTCAAGCTGGTAAACACCAGGCCTCCCAGTTGATTGTCCTTTTTCTCCTCTGACCCTGACTTCCTGCCCTTTTCTCTATTAACTTTATCACCAGTGTCTTTGATTATGTCTCTGCAAATTCTCTTTGGAAACATGAAGGATACAGATTTGTATATAAATTTAATAAATAAAAGAGCTAACCCAGGCACATAATTGGCTTACAGTAGATGTTAATTTCTGTTCCTTACTTGCCCTTGTGCCAGACCCTTCTGGTGTGGGGTTCCGGAAGTGACTCCTCCTTGGCTTGCTTGAAGTGGGGGAGCTTGTGGGCTGGCATTGGCCACTGCCCCGTGCCCTGCAGTTATCCTGGGTGATTGTGGACTCCTCTCAGGCTACCTACCTGTTTAATTTTCAAAGTATCTAACCACCCAGTGCTTTTCCCAGCCTGCCTGGCCCTTGCATGGGCACAGGTTGCCCTGGGCAGGGGCTGGCACCTCCCATCATTCCCTGGACATTCTCTGCTCTTGAGCTCCTCCACATGGTGGCCGGGGCAATGCCTTTGGCCTGGAATGCCCCCCTCCCCCGGCCCCTTCTTTTTTTTTTTTTGTCTTTTTGTCTTTTTTCCGTGTCCGGCAACGGATCGCAACCCTCAGTGTTGCCATGGTGGCCGGGGCAATGCCTTTGGCCTGGAATGCCCCCCCCCCCCGGCCCCTTCTTTTTTTTTTTGTCTTTTTGGCTTTTTTCCGGGTCCGGCCACGGATCGCAACCCTCAGAGTTGCCCCCGTACCGGACCGGGGACCGGCAACGGGATCGCAGCCCTCGGCGCTGCTCCCGCGCCTCGCTCAGCCAGTGAGCGGGAACCGGTCTGTATGTGGGATCCGAACCCTCGGACGGGAGCGCCGCCACGCTTCCCAAGCGGCGCACTATCCAGTGCGCCACCGGGCTGGCCCCCCCGGCCCCTTCTGTACACGCACACTCATCCAGCTCTTTGTGGCCTTGGCAGAGCAGCTGTCCTCTGGTGCTTCTTGCAGATGGGGATCATCATGTTAATAGCCATGTAGCAGAGATGATGTGACGAGGGCGTCTGGGTGCCTGGTACTTAGCGTGTGCTCTGTGAATATTTGAGTGGAGAATACATAGAACTTGTAGTGATCTTAATACTTCCAAAGCTGTTATAGTCCCCTCTCAGGCAGCATTTGGCACTGGTGCTCCTTGGAGCACTCTGCTCCCTGTGCCTGCACCTGACTTGACACACAGTGGGTGTTGAACAGTTGCTATTGAAATGGCGCAGTACATGGAGCATGGCTTGGATCCTGGCTCCACCTCTGAGCTGCTCTGTGGCCCTGGCAGGTTACTCAGACTCTCTGAACGGCCTCATGTTCTCGTGTGGAAAATAAAGATCATAATAGCAGCCCCCTCTTAGGGTTGTCTTGGCAATTAAATGAATTTCTATGTGAAAAGTACTTCGAAGAGTGCCTGGCATCTAGAAAACTCAGTAAGTGTTGCTGTGATTATTATGAGCCCCCTCACCCACCAGCAGGTTGCCCAGAGTGATCCTCTTTAGGAATATCAGGACAAGAGGGTCCCAGCAACGCAAGAGTGGTGGTAAGGCGGGCGGTGTGGAACTCAGATGTCCTTCGTCCCTTCCCTTTCTTCTAATTAGTTACCCCAGATGCAAAACTCCTTTTGTTGGGGTTGACTCTGCTCACCCCAGGGGATGGGGAAGACACCTACTCTTCTTGGGGGCTCCCGATTCCCCAAACCTTTCCTGGTAGAGGCCACAGCATGGAGTGGGAAGACCCCTGGGCTGAACGCAGTGTTGGGGGACGTTGGGCAAGTTACTGCCTGTCTCGAGTGGCGTCTTTCCTCCTGTGGGAAATGAGGGGGTTCTAGCTGTATGCTGAGGGGGATTCATCTGTCCCATCGGCCCCATTTGACTGACCATGGGCTTCTGAGATGCTCCTGGTGTTTCAGCCATAGTGTACGTCTTCTGAGTAAGAAAGACCTGGGTTCAGATCCTGCTCTGTCACTTCAACAAACGGTGGCCCTGAGCCATATGCTAGTAATCTGTCTGACTCTCATGCATGAAACAGGTCATAATAACACCTCCCTCAAGCATCTGTAGGGTACAGTCAATGAGATAATCCCCATATCTCACTTAGTTTAGTGCTTGGCTTCTGCGAGTGCTTAATAAACGTTCCTTGGTGTTTTCCAGGGTAATAAGGTTGAGCAGCTCATCTGGCTTCATGCCCTTCCCTCCCAGCCCCACCCTGG